ACAAAAAGCTAGTTTAAAGCTGACTAAAAAAAAACGAACAAGAAAAAAATAAGATTTTGAAGTAATGCATTTGAAATCAATACTGCTGTAGGATATAAGCGAAGTATCAAAAGGAAGGGGCTAACCAGACTTTAGAACTTAATAAAAAAAAAGATTAGGGCCATGCATAGAGAAAACAATTCAACCACCTAATACTAAGACGATAGCAGCCACCTCGTTAACGGAGCAGCAAAAAAAAATGTCACTTACTTACTTGATGTTTACTTTCGTGAAGAAAAAAATCAAATTAATCTTTATATGCCTTGTAGTCTATAGTAAAAAAAGATGCTGATATAACACCATGGGAACGACAGCCCCATGCTTTGTACGGCACACGTATCCAACCAGCGAAAGGAAATAGCTACACATGAATAGAGCGTGCGGCAATCAGGACGGCTTTAATCGAGGTACGATCGAGCGTCAGACGCCGCGGTACCAGAAAGTAGGGTGGGAAGGAGGGGCAACCTAGGAGAGGCCCAACCCCACCAAAATAGCGTTCTGAAACCACAGTGGTCAACAGGTTACTGCCGAATGTGAGACTTTACCAGGGAGGAGAGGTCACGAGGATGATCCCAAACATGCACAAGGTTCAACACAAGCGAGCAGGTCGACCCGGAGTTATCGGCCTTACGCACTTTTCACACCATCATCGTTTCTGGCTGCCGCACGGGGGGTGTGCTGCTGTGGGGCCGCAAGTGCGAGAGACACGACCCATCAGTGTTCACTCGATCCTATCAACCTGGTAGTTCAGCTGTCCAGTGGCAACAAGCTATCCACGCGGGTACAGAAACAGCTATTGCGGTGGCGCCAACGGGCAGAGGAAAAAATACAAGAAAACCACGCCCTTTGCCTTCCCCTACACAGGTATGCAGAATCGCATGGACGCATACACATGGCAGCTATGCACAGCAGTTAAATGCGCGTTCACAAAAAAACAAGACACAGGAATCACGAGTACTCTAGTATGCGCGTTCGGAGAAAGGCTGCAGCGCAAAGGATTACAAGTCACAAGCAGTGTGTGTGCACGCCGGACTGAAACAAGCCGCAGGCCGCTGTAGGGTGAGCGCGCGCATGACAGGGAAAGAAAGGAAAACGCGCCAAAACGTGCGAGCGAGCAGAGGAAAAAAAAAACAGGGGCGCGAAAGGGCCTACAAGCCATACGACTACAGCATGACGAGCGCATCAACGGCTCGTCGACAGCAAGGACACGGAAGGACACCATAAAACGGATGGAGAGGCTAGGGGTAGGGGCTGGCCCAATGTCTGTGTGGGTCTGTGTGGTCTCTAATCATTCAAGTGACAGGACCCTCGGTGTCAAGAGGAATTGTCCACAGCGGATTGTACATGAAACCTCAGCCTACAAGCACTGCTACCGACCTGATGGTAGCTGCCTCTCGATCGGTACCGAGTTCGGTAGATGAGCCGGAACAGCGGTAGAAGTGAGCCTCGAAGGTGGCTTGTGACAAGGAGTGGAAGGTCTCCGGTCGTGGATACGGTATTCGCTTGTTGATTATTGCTAACTCAGGGCAAGCAAGGAGAAAGGAAACCCGAGTTCGATTCTCGGATTGGACACCATAAAACGGATGGGGAGGCTAGGGGTAGGGGCTGGCCCAATGTCTGTGTGGGTCTGTGTGGTCTCTAATCATTCAAGTGACAGGACCCTCGGTGTCAAGAGGAATTGTCCACAGCGGATTGTACATGAAACCTCAGCCTACAAGCACTGCTACCGACCTGATGGTAGCTGCCTCTCGATCGGTACCGAGTTCGGTAGATGAGCCGGAACAGCGGTAGAAGTGAGCCTCGAAGGTGGCTTGTGACAAGGAGTGGAAGGTCTCCGGTAGTGGATACGGTATTCGCTTGTTGATTATTGCTAACTCAGGGCAAGCAAGGAGAAGAGTGAAGCAGGGGGGCTGAGCAATCCTAGCCTCAAGACGGGGCCCGGCAAACCGGACCTTACTGCTAGTACCTGTTGGGAACAACGCATTCTCCCAAAGGTGCAACTCCTATCAACCGTAACCATGTAACCGTAACACATGTGCCAGCTGAGCATGTATTAGCTGTAGACTTGTCATGATTCGTACCTCGTTTACTTGATTTCCAAGCTGTTTTGGTTCACCGTACCGAGCTCGACGCAACAGACACTGATTTAAGCAGCACCAAGCTCATTGTGTTACGCTGCTTGAGTTGTCGTGGTCAAATTGCTCTATTGACCGCTGCGCGCTTCACCCTTTCATCGTAGATTGTAGCAACCAGATTTGGCTGCTTCTTTTGGTAAGTCTTCAGCGGGAGACAGGGATAGGTGTGGGCAGTCTGTCACGGCAGACCGTGGGCCCAAAGCAAACGATTTTGTCTGACGGCTTTTTCGGGCAACGCCAAAAGTGCGTAGCATTGTCGGGTTCACTAGTGAACACCAGCGACACGAGAACTCCCGTCGTTTTCCGTGCGCTGTAAGCTCGAGGGGTTCTGTTTGAAAATGTCGGTTTCATCGCGTTCGTTTGCCGAGAGGATCTGGCCAAGAGGAAGGAGGAGAGAGGGGAGGCATGGTCCCTGTGCCTTCGGAGATGAAACTGCATGCAGCGGGAAGCCTTGTCCAGAGCATCTATTACAGTGTGCTTAAGCGGCGTGGTGGGCATATTTGGCGTTGGTGCGACCTATTGCAGCAGCGGCTTCGACCCGTTTGTTTTGTTGGCGAAAACTCTTCGGCTTATTACCACCCCATGACTCTTCCCACCCGATTTCGAACGGGTGGACGACGGCCCTTTTACTTGAGCATCGGCCCTTATTTTTCTGTGTGGATGATAGAAGGGCAGTCGTGTTGCGTAAGGCGCCTCAATTGCATGCAGGTCGAGGGACAATCTAACGCGGGGTGTCTTTGTCCATCATCTGGTCTACCGCTTGGTCCGTTCCTCAGAAATGCTCATGTATGTTCTTCATCGGGTCCATTGAGTGCGTTGCTGCAGCGGCGCAAGTTAAGGCTTGGCAGCATTCCGCTGAGTAAGGCTTGGGTGCAACTTTGGCTCAAGATAGATTGTCCGCGCCTGGCTCGCGTTTTCGGTAGCGAATTTTACTGCAGTTGTATGCAGGGGTGGGATGTTTGAAAATTGGAGCACAGGGTCGGACTTGGGTTTTCTGTGTAAGAGTGTTGCGGATCGCGATCTGTTCCTTGAAGCAGCGAGATAATCGCGCGCTCCGTTCACAAGTGGTTTCTTTCTAGGGCAGTAACTCTTGAAACAAACAGCAGTGGATCCCGATGAGGCAGTGCCACGACTGAGCATGCCCTCATGAGAGCATCCCACCCGTTGGTCGTGGTGAGCGTTCATTGTTGCCAGGACTTGTTTTTTTTTCGCGCCGCGCCAACTGTTGGAAAAATGCCTTCGTCAGCCAGCTGAGGACGACGCACGGGTACTACCTGACAACAGCATGAACCGGCCGCCCCACGGCTAAAACAAGCTCAAGCATTTGTATTTACGAGAACAAATGTCACACTCCCGACGCATGACGGGTGAGATCCCTTTTTTGCCTGTAACAACTGTTCTCGAGGCTCAGCTGAATGAAACTGTTCCCTTCGTGTGATGTCGAGGCCAAAAAGCCGATGCGGCAAATACCACATTCCGAGCAGTTTGGCTCGGGCAGGCTGATGCCTACAAACCGACGCACGCGAAATGGCAGCAGTTTGAAAACGATTCTATGTCGCACTGTTGTACAGGGTTGGTCTGTGTCTGGTACACTGCGAGGCTAACTTTACGGACCGGATCAGAGAAAAAGAAAAGTCCAAATTTCACGATAGTTTCTCGTCGTGGAGCCCTACCAAATTGGGCAGGTGCTATATGCTCTCGTCATCAAGGTCTCTTGTCTGGCAAACTCGCTGGTACCCGCCGCACTCTCGAAACGGCAGTTGACAGTCAAACTGAACTCTAAAAAATAATACCACACGCACGAGCGAGGCTAAAAAAAGTTAAGATGTTGCTCTCCGCGGCGACAATACGCACGGGGTTGTGGAGGGTGCTTTCTTCTTGCTTCTCACCTTGGGTTGGGGCGAATACACACAAAATAAAACAGCAGTGAAATCTGTCGGCGTTTTTTTGTGTTCCGCACCTCAGGAAGAAACCTCCGCCGGTCAAATCAAACGCGCTTCTCTGAGAGGCTTCCTCTGCTCGTCAGACTTCAACGCCATAACACAGAAGATGGAAGTGCACGCTATATCTCTGCCTCCCTCAGGGATCCCTCGTCGTAAGCAAGCACCATAGTACGTCTACGACACGTGTCCCCTAATGAGAGGCGAGCCGGCAACCCTGCCAGTGATGATCAAGTATCCGCGTCCCCTCTTTTCCATCATTCTAATCATCACCCATGACGGACATCCGAAACGGGTACCCTCACATCACACCGCAGGCCATCTCTTCAACACTCACTTTCACAACAACCGCACACCCCTGCGACAGAGGGGGGAAGGCACCCGAGGACAGGACGAAAGGGAGGGGTTGGTGACCGTCCAGAGGCCGAGATCGACAACACCAACAGCACCACCGTTACCATTGTCAACGGAGAATATGCTGCCGTCGAGGAACACCCCCTAGGGGGTAACAACGGACAAGTACAACGCTCGGTGCTTCCCCCGCAACAGACTAAGGCACATGATCTTCAACAGTTATACCAACACAACATAACGGTTGTAGGGGTGCAGCTCCTGGGGGGCGTTTTTGGCGTCTTGAAAAACGGAGCTTCTCAGGGGGTAGTCTACTAACGGTGGTGCTACCTTCTACGTCATCTGTCATCGTCCATGGCGTCATCGTCGTCGTGTTTGTCGTTGCTGCCGTCTTCTCCACCCCCGGGCAGACGCCACGAGCAGATTCTGGCATCCTCGCCGCCGGTGGCCATCGCCCGTCCCATCCACTGGAAGGTGCGGATCTGCTCCGCGTGGCCCCCTTCCAAAATGGCGTCCGGAGTGATACCTGGGAGGAAAGAGTATGTTGTATTGTGAACGCAAGCGTTGGAACCCGAAGGGAGGGTGTAGCATGTGGTGAACGCAACTTGATCATGTTCCACAATAACACACTGGGGCGGGGCCTCTAAAAAACTCGACATCGAGGGGGTCTCCCCTGACAGAAGGCGATTTTCTCCATCCATCCTTCTGGAGGCTGGCGGTTCACCCTTTTTTACTGCTGCCAACACGTGATATGACGCATGTCAAAGTGTGTGTGCTGTCGAATGTTTGTAGAAAGCACTATTTAGGTGAAACAGCAACACCGACGAATATTAGCTGTGTAGTCTAGAAACGAGGAAAGAGAGCCGGTTCAAGTTGTAGGAGTAGACCATGCTTACCGTGCGTTCCGTATGTACCTTGCTCCTCACAACGTTTCGGAGAGAATACAAACAACAACGACGACGACAACAGTAGCAGTACGAATTGGCAATGAGAAATCCAATTCAATACCAACCCAATACCCAGAACAGCTGCGCCGAAACTCTACAACAGCTGGATCATTTTCGGGGGGGGGGGGGCACAAAGCTTCGGCAGACATGACTGTGTTCACAACACAATAAAAGAAAAGTCATTTGCGAAAGACTCTGCTCCGGTTCAGATTTATTTCGACATTTCAATGCTTGAGCGAGGAAAACCCTCTACAGCGATAGCCGTATTTGACACATGGTAAGAAAAGTCACTACAATACCAACAAACCAGACAGGCGATTCGTCCCGAAGTGCGTGCCACTTGGCACCACAGGTAGAACAGGAAACGTTACCTCAGCCCTACTGTTTGCTCCGATCCCAACCCTATCGCTGCACTTGGACTGCCTCTGCCCCCTTCCTGCACAAACCCCAACTTGAACCACACGAGAAACCGTACCTTCTGGAGACACAGTCGCCAGGCACGCTGCGCCTGCGTAACTACTCGTCACTAGCCGCAGACGATCAGCGGCTGCGTCGTACTGAAAACATCGTGAAGGAACACACATGTGTTGCGAATGCGAACAATGGGGGCCACGGAACGGTATTGTCTCATCTTCAGCAGTGGGTGAAGCATGCGGTCTGTCGCGCGCGCCCACAAGAACTGGAAACTGACGACTGTAAATGCTAGCAGGCTAGCGCTTTCATCAGAAAACATGTCGAAGCTTTGCATGCCGTGAACGTTGCGGTGGCAGCCACCTGACAAGAAAATGCCAAAACATCACACCTTGTTACGTGGCTGCCACAATCCCAAAAACAACTCATCAGTGCACAAGCCACCCTACAGAGCAGTCGTGCACTTTGGCGGCAGCAGTCATGTGCCAAGCAAACGTCAAACACAACACCACCTTGATACTTCGTTACTCTTTGACGTAGTTGTCATTGTTTAGATATGTGCACCGATTTGTTGGTAGCATAGTTGGCCCTGCGACCACGGAAGGTGTCCGCTGCAGTTGGACCGGTACCGATGGTGGACGGTACTGAACAGAAAATACCCAACACATTACATTAATACTGTGTTGTTCCAGCACAGGTCGGCAAAAAATCTGAGCCACCGCCACGAGCACTGCAGAGGCAAGGACACCGACGATAGCATGGCCCGCAGGCCTCCACAGCTGTACCAGGCTCCTGGATAAAACCGGTGGCCACAACTACACATCTCGCCGCGAATTCACTCGGCAGAACGCGCCCTTCCCTTGCATAAAAAAATAGCAGCACCGTTTTTCACCTGGCAGTTCACTATGCAGTCCACCGCAACACCCCAATCCTCGCCTGCCGCGGCCGCCGCCGCCGCAGCCCGTGCTGCCGCTACCAACCCTCCGCCCTCCCGGGGAACAGCAGCAGCAGTAGCACCGTCGCCAGCACCAACGTCGGCTTCAGCAGGATTTTCTCCCCTCGCCAAGGCACGGACGTCGCCGAAGTCCTTTATCCTCTGCGCTCCTGCGGCATGCCAGAGAGACAGGCTCTCCGTGTTGGTGCAGCAGTATACCCCCTCTCCCTCCGGGCCGAAGAAACCCACGCTGCGCACGGGGCACTCCGCGTTCATGACAGAGTCGAGCGCCTGGAAGCACCGCAAAGAGAATTTTAACAGACGGGATCGATAAGCGCCTTCTCAGTGTTGGAGACTTAGGATGGGGGACCTGCTGCAGCAGTGGGGAATATCGCATCTAGAACGTGGCCGAGTCTCCGGGTGGAAGCCTGACGCAACTGTCAAGGATGATCTTGGTACAGTATGGTTGGGGCCCGAAGAAGAAAATCGGCAACAGCTGGGGCAGTGTGCTCGCCTGCATCGTGGTTTCTAGTCGGCGTGGGCGCCTAGCACGGCGTCGGCGCTTCGCCTCGCGTTGGCCGACAACTAAAGCGAAAAAATGAAATACTCCTGCTTTCATACGCCGCAGAAGGGTGCTCACGTCCTCTTCGAGCGAGACCTCGGTGTCGAAGAAGCACATGAGCCCGTCCTCAGAGCCGGTGAGCATGAAGGAGCGCTTGTGAGGGTGGAACCGGACCTGGACGCGGTGACGGCAATGCGACAGGTAGCCAATACGAGCGAACGCACGCCATGTCGTGGAGAAGCCCTTTCGTTAATGACGTGTGGTCACAGACTTTGCCGTCATCTTCGCGCGAGCAATCGGTCCTGCCTCCCCACCAAGGGCTCTCAAACCCCGTACAGCATCAACGGGCGAAAAATTGTATTGTCCGCGGCGAAGAACAAGGTGGCCGGTCAACACGCACCATGGTGTTCTTGTGTATTAAGTGCAAGATGCGACCCAGTACGCTTTGACGTCACCGTAGCTCGAGCAGGCGTGCGTCGTGACCGTTCATTGTGTTCTTCTGAGTTCCCCGGCGACGAAAACTGAGCAAAAAACATCAATTGTTATTACCTGAGTTACTGCGTCCGTGTGGCACTCTGAGTACGACCCTAGTGGCTTCCCTGCCTTCCGCAAGTCGTAGAACTCGATCAAACAGTCTTTGCCGGTGGCGCACAATCGACCGTCGTATCCCAGCTGGCGGGACAATGTTCATGTCCGACATACAGCGATGCGGGAGCAAAAGTGAACGGCGAAAAGGGAGAAGGAACCCGAAAGAACAACCGGCTAGACTTTTGGATGGTAGCACGCAAGGGCAGTCGGTATGGTGGAGCAATGATGACCGTGTACCGTAGTACACGAACCGAATGATGCAGGAGCGCAAAATGTTGAGTCGGTACTGCTGACTGGCCTGACGGCATGAACCTTTAGGCAAAGGGGAACTCCCGCCGGCACGTGACAATCGAAATCCAATATACATCGTCTCTCAAACTGCTGTTTGCCATCTCCGTCGCCGAACCTAACCCAAGTTTCGTAGGAGTAAGGTCGGGTTTAGAACCGAGATGGGATCCACTGCTGCTGTGTGGACGTTCTCGGTACTTGTGTGTGAGGTCTCACCGCCATGCTGTAGACCTCCTCTTCCTCTTCCGAATCTCCCAGGGTGATTGTCGTCGCCAGAGATCGAGTGTCCCATCCCCTGCAAGACAACATATGTAGACCAAATTAGCACAGGAAACTGGTTGCGAGTTGTAATAAAGTCGTAATCTCATGCATGCGACAACTAATCGATCTATTTACATACATGTACAACAGCATCGCACGCGTTGCACAGGACGTGTACTTGTACAGCGTATACAGAAGTAGGTTGTAGCCTTACACCAGCGGCACTCCTGGGTACCTTACAAATGTTGCCTACTAGCACCACCAAAATGTCACGAACTTATGCAGTACCAATCCCACCACACACTACACGGAAAAGATCAAGAAACTGCAAAGTGTGAGCTATGCAACCGCCCAGCTGTATGGGGTGGGCAGCTCGGACTCTCGGAAACTCTGCTGCTGCCATACATTCAAACCTGACAGTCCCGTCCTCCGATGCCGAAAAAAAGCAGCTCGGGTCGGATGGAGCGAACGCCAGCTGCGTAAGGGGGCCCGTGTGGCCCTTCACCTTCCCTGCTAGGGCCATCGTTTCCACCGAATAGAGATTAATCTCAAGGGACGAAAGCGCTGCCGCTAGCTGCTTGTTGTCGCAGCTCATCTCCAGCTGTGTTATGTATTCGAGCCGCGGCCCATCGTCGTCGTCGCTTTCGATGATATCCTCGCTCTGCCGTGCGTCTGCTGCTGCAGTGGGCTCGGCGGCGACGATGGTCTTGATGAGCTCACCCCGAGGGAGAATTGTGCCAGCGTCGATATCCATCTTCGCCACGCTGGCAATCACTTAGTTCTGTATTCGACAACTTTGCTGTACAAGTACAGCAGTAGCACACGGAGGATTGTTGGAGGGGTGCGGTTGGCTTCGATAAGGTACAGGAATCAACGCGCCGCGTTCGAGATGCTGTACCCTATTGGTTGTCAGTCTTTCGCAAACGAACCTTGAACCTAACCTTCGTATGTAAATGTGTACGTTGTCTCAGGCGCTTCCCATCAAGCACCCATCCAAGATGCCATGAATAAGGAGGGTTCGCCGTGTGGAACTTCTCCTTGTGGCACAGCAGTCCGGTAGAGGAGCGGCGGCGAAGGGCGGCGACGTTCAGCAAACCTCTTTGCCCAGCGGTGCCGCGTTGTTCCTGTAGATACCAGCAGCAAGAGCCGGCAAAAACTCACACGCCGATGAAGCGCCTCCGTGGCTGGCCAACTGGTCAGCTTACTTTCATCGCCCTGCTGGGGCTGGGCGCTCTGCTCGCACACCTCGTAGACGGCTACGCGTGGTGTCAAGAATACTGGAACTGGGATGGAAAGGTATGTATGTACAACTCGCCACCTTCTTTTGCGTCGGAAAGCAGTCTCTGCTGGTTTGAAACCCGGACACTACTGTGAAGGTTTGCATCCCTGGCTGGGCTGCAACCGGGAGCGCGCAAGGGGAGGGGAATCTTGGCCCCAAGCACGTAGTGGGAGGAGTATCGTGTGCTCTGCATATTTGATAACGGTTGTAGTGCAAGCTAGTTTGCCTTTCCTAGGGTTCTCGGTGTTGCAGCTCCCTCAACCCTCGACGTTGCACCGTCAAGTTGCGCCGCATCTGCATGACGCGAAGAGCACTGCCCCGCGGAGAACGCGCACGCAGCCTCTTTTTTGTTCGCATAAGCTGAGAGAGGCAGCGCTATAACATCGGTATGGAACGTGTGGCGAAAATTGTTGGGCTGTCTCCCCTTGCACTTATCCCTCGCAAATTGGCATCGGGCTCAAGCACGGTTCCGGCTGCATGGGTACCAAATACTTTCCGGAGACTCCTGGAGGTACACAGAGAGGCTTCCACCTCTGGGCTGCAGACTCTCGCACACAGCCCTTTCCGTTCAATATTTCGAAAAAGCATTCGTGTTTCAATCTCTCTGTCCTGTGAAGCACCTATCAACACATCAGTAGGTACACTCCTCCAGTGCCGATATCGAGGGTGAGGTTTGGTGGAATATCACCTACCGGTGCGGCTATTGATGCTATCGGGCGTGTTATGCCGACAACAAGTTTGTATGCAGCTCTGCTAGTGACAATCTCTTTTCTAGGTCAAGAGAGGGTACACACACGCTTCCAAGGGTTGGCTTTGGGATGATGCAGGTGCACATCTATAACGTGGACGCTGTGACCGTTGGCATGCCTATTGTAGCACTCTTCGGTGGCGCGGTTCCCAACGACTGCCGTACTGCTGGCGTTCGCTTGTGTCTGCTCGTTCTCGACAGCGGCACTCAAGCACGGATGGGAGGCGGTGGCCCGCCAACGACGGGGTGGTTATCACGTACATCAACGGAATATTCCATTCCGTGCCTGAGTGGGAGAGCATCACGCAACAGCTGCAGGCTCTCTTCGGCCACGAGGTAGGGACGTCTGTCGTTGCCGCTGCCGCTGCCTGCTGCGGCTGCTGCTGTTTGTTGGTGGACCTGTCGTTGCGTGGCTGTTTTCTGTGCAATCCAAACTACCCAGCTACTTTAGCCCGCACCCTTTCAGACCGTAGTAGCCGTTCTGCGAAACCGTCATCCTGTTGGTGTATATCCCCTCAACTCCGACTCGAAGCGTGCGGCATGACTACCCAAGGCCCTGTCCCCCAACCCTTCGAAAAGGTGCGGTCGTTCTACAACCCTTCATCCGGTTGGTGGATCACAGATGCCTCCAAGGCTGGCTACCACATGCTCAGAAAGCCTGCCAACCACACCATCGCACAGGGTGAGCTTCCAATACGGCCCCATCAATCCATGAATTTGGCAGCGATGTTCCTGTGTCGGTTCAAACGCCTCTGCCCTTTGCACAACTTCCTGTAGTTGTCTTGACGTGCCGCACCTCTCTGGCTGCAGCGATGAAAAAATGACGAGGTTCGTTGTCGCAGGCACGATCGAACGGTGAGTACATGCCAAAAAAAAGCTACCTAGCCCAAGCCCTGCAGGGGATACGGTAGAGACAATGAGAACCGTTCGCATCTGATGGTCGCGGTAAGTTGTAACCACTTCTCCGTCCACGCTGATGTCGTGCTGCAGCATTGGGAGATCACCTCGCCCAAGCGGTGGAGGACGTGGGGAGGGGGCGTGTCCTGCACATCGCGCACAGCGGCGGTGCTCTCATCACCTACCTAGCGGCGCAGCACCACCTCACTCGGAGGTACACAGCTCATCGGCTCGCCAAGACAGTCCACTGCCGCGAATGTCTCCGCTTGCGGCGGGGGAAGCCTGTGTCCTGTGGAATGTCATGTCGGCACCCTCTTTTCGACAGTCTTGTTCTCGGCATCCTCTCTACTTGACGGAGATGTTTGTTTGCTGTGGTTTTGTATCTGGGTGTTCCATGCTGAGTTCCCGAGCCGAGGTTCACTTCACGGAGGTTTTCATCGGAGCCTTTACTTGCAACTTTCTAGAAAGGACGCTCTTGTGATCCTACGCTGCCGGGCGCACAGCCTGGAGACGACGATACAATCAGATATATTTCTGTGAAACCGTGAAAATTGGTTTCTCAGGTTTGAAATGTTTCGTGGATGTCGTTTTTCGACGGTCCATAGCTTGGTGCAGCTTAGCTGGCTTCTGGCGATGGGATTGGATGAGGTAGACGTTACTTGAAGGCACTGCACAAACACGAGACAGAGCCTTCTCGGCGTTTTCGAACATCCTAGATAGACGAGTGTACTTTCCGTCAGCGGCGCCGACGATGTGTCTTGAGTCTGCGCTCGGTTGAACTGCGGTATTCACTAGAATGTTTCGACAACCTTACCGTACGACGCATGCGCCGATTTTCGTCGGAGTAGGTTTGCCTGCTATTGCAAGGGTTGCTGGCTTTTGTCACGCAGCCTTCTGAATGTCGATCCCGCCTCTTCTCGCAAAAAATAAATCTTTCCGCGGTTGATGTACAAGATGGCGTTGTTCCTTCGTGTTCCCGAAGAAACTCGTAACAGTTACCATGGTGAAATTGGTGGCATGCACTCGCTATTGTACGCTCGTAGGCGTGCGGCGTCGAGCAGCGCCAGATTCTCGGTCGTGGTCGTAAGGTCAAAGCCAGGGAGGTCGTACAAGAGTGATTCAGAAGTTGTCGCTTGAGCCCGGGTTTGTTTCTGCTCGTGGTTTCGCGCTTTATTTTTGGGCAGTTCCAGTCCCGCGTCGCCCGTCAGCTACTGCTGCTGCTGCTCTCTGGTGCCCCCCCCCCCCGACTATATGCGTACCTACAGGCAGCGGGACAAGATTGACGTGGTGACGTTCGGCGGTGCTCGAAGCATCACAAGGAAGTACTTCAGCGGGCGTGTGGGCGAGTGATTATGGACCCCTCATCTTCCTGTTCTGCTTTCTCCTCTTTCCTGCATCTGTATTTTTTGTTTTCCTGCCAAACCTTTTGATGGGCATCTTGAGGGTGGGGGCGGGAAACGCCGTTATGTCGGCACCCGACATGGAAAAGCATCTTCTGTTCCAATGAGAAAATCTGTAGGCTGTACGTCCAGCCGCACCCTCTTCACATATATTTTAATGCTCGCCAATACCGTGGTGGGTATTGTCCTAAGGCATTTCTATGGTTCAACAACGTTTTTAGGGCGAGCACAGCGATGGTTTCTCCGTGATCGATACGAAACTGGGATGAAAGTTTCTGTAAGCCGTACAAAAAGAGCTTGGTTACTTCCGGTGTGGGCGATTCTTGTCGTTGGGCGTTGTGAAATGTCCAATAGACCACATGCGTTTGCGAGAGATGAACGGCCTATTGGTTTGCACAGCATCAAACTGCAGGGCTGCTTCTCTTCTGTTTTTGACGTTGATTCTTGGCTGCTCCCTAACCCCGGTGCTTCTCTTTCTGCTGCTCACGCACCGCCGTTTGTTGGTGCTGTTTCCAGTGAACTACTATGCAAGGAACGACCCGCTGGTGAAGCTGGATAGACGAGCGGCGGAGCTCATGAAACTCACCAACAACACCAAGTTTCAGGAGGTAAGTACCATGTCATACTGCACCCTACCATATGCCACCGCGTTCCGTGTATTTGCACGAAGCTACCGTTTCAGCGGTTCCCTCAATCTAACCAGCACCGGTTTTTGTTGTTGATGGGGGTGGTTTCGTGGACGATACCCTTCCATCGCGTGGGCGCATTCTGCACAGCGCGAATCCATGCTTGGCGTGTGTCAAGGACGGATGAACGCTTACGAGACCGACTGGACTGTGTACGTGGAGAAAACAACGCTCGATTGATTGGCTTCCCCTCCACCGCACGCCACGAGCACGGATTTTTAGGCGCCTTTTCGTTTTGTCAAGATACCCAGTAACCTTACGTGCTCGTGGCGGTTCTCGTGGCTCACACACGACTTTCACGTGTGGTATTGCACATGCTCTCAACTTTCACGAACACGTACGATTGTTTGTTTTCTTGGCGCCTTATCGTCGGGAAGAACAATACGACGATATCGAGAGAGAGGTGATTTATATTTTTTGACATATATCCTGTAGGTTGCATTAGATATCGCACCCCCGGGGTGCTGGATATCTGGTCCAACCTCCGGTACACCATGATCTTTGTGACTGTCCGTCCAGGCCGCTTTTTTTCGTGCTTTTGTTCGGGCCTTGGTCTTAGATATTTTGTCTGCTAGATTGTCGGGGAGCGAAACTCGACAGTGTCAACTGCGATCCTTCCCAGGCCCTGTACGAACACTCGCTTCTTTCTTCTTTTTGTTTCGCTTGTCGAGGGGCCAGACGAACCAAAAATGGCATTTGAACGGTAAGCGAGATATCGCTTCGGGCGGTATGTACAAGTCACCGAAACATGCCTCGATTTTGTACGCGTGGACGTTTCGCCTCGCGGTTGAAACCGCCAGATCAACGAGAAACACAACACGACCTTCGTCTTTCTGGAGGGTCGCGCGAGGCAGTTCGTGCTCGACCACTCTTTGGAGGGACCCACCTACCAGCATGCGCTGATGAAGGAAGCCAAAGGCAAGAAGAGAGAGGATCTTGGCGTACAGCGGACGGTTTGTTGGTGCTTCGGGCCTTGACAACGAAGAGTAGGCCGGGGTCGAGAACGGAATGCAGCTACCGCTACCAAACCTTGGGCTTTCGTGCATCCGCGTGGGGTGTGGTTCTGATGTCCAACTGGTTGCGCGTGGCGTGGTGATCGCCACGAGTGCTGGGGTGTTTTCGGTTACGGAAGTGAAGTACGATGAATAAAGAGGGGAGACAGGGGTGAGTGGTGAGTACATGGAGACCTGACGAAATAAATGCAAGTGACGATGACGTCGGCGCCTCCGCCACGAAAATGAAAGCAGTGCCGCCCTCTGTGCCCGTCGTTGGCTGGGGTGAAGCGTTGTGATAAGAATGGATTTCATGCGCATGTACAGGATGTTGCAGAACAATTAGCAATGGTTGAACCTGGGATACTAGTTGCCCCAGTCAATGGTCCACTGGTAGACGTCTTTTCGAGTCCGGGCCACGAACGTCGTGTCGGCACAGTGTGTTGGAGGAGCACCGGGGCTTGCGGCTGTGTTTGATTCTTCACCTCCCATCCACTCTTCTTGCCGCCTTCTTTTGCGCTTTCACCGCGACCCCGCTACCCCCGACCGTAACCCTAGCCCTAAACAACCGGCGTCCCAACCGCGACGTGTCTCTTGTTGGCTCGATCCAAACTCCAGCCTTCCGCAGGGCGCACTTCGGCCCGTTGTCCCCGCTGTCGTGGGACTACGATCAGTCCATTCTCCGGCTGGTCCGCAAGAAGGTGGCGCAGCTGTCCGGATTGCACGACTTCTTCAGCACGGAGCGCTTCGGCCTGCGCTCCATCCGCAAGAGCGTCGCCCGCCTCACGGGTCTCCACGGATTTTTCAGCGGCAAGAATCCCGGCTCCAAGGGAGTGGCGGTCTCTGTGTTTGGAAGCGGGAAAGGGACGGCGGCAGCCGATGCTGACGGCAGCGGGGTTTCGACAGGGGTCACCAGTTGGTGGAAGCCTTGGGGACGAAGAAGCGACGATGGAAACGATGTCGAAGTCGTAGCGGTACCAGACGTTGCTGCTGCTGCTGGCGCGGAGGGTGGTGCTCCTGGCGCAGGCGCTGGTGAGAGGTTCTGGCTTGGGTTCCGGTGGTCTCGGCGGGGAAGGAAGGGGCAAAGCGGCGACGAAGCAGAAGCAGGGGCTGTACCCACGGGGAGCGTCGTCGTCGACCTTGACGAGCGGTCGCAGATTTCGATGGACACGGAGAACAGCCAAGCCCAGGAGCCACGGTCGACGAGCCGCTGGGCCCGTGTGCGAGGTGCTTGGATGTTCGGCCGGGCAAAGGAGTCAAATGTCGCGGGGGAGCTAGTGGCGTCAGAGGACGGTGGGCTTGGTGACAGCAGTGACGAGGCGGAGGAGGATAAGGAGGCTAGTGGTGAGGGTCGCCTTGATTCCTCAACGCTAGCGGAGAGCAGCGACAGACCGTGGCTTTCGGTGGGGTGGACGCCGTGGGGAGGGAGGACGACGAGGCCACCGCCTGGAGAGGCAGGCGATGCACCGGCATCCGCACCGGCGTCTACGCCCGAGTCGCGGGTTGAGGAGGCCACGCTGTCTGCCGAGCACGGGGGGGCTGCTGCTGGCGAGGGAGAGGCGGCGGCCACGTCGGCGGCTGCTACAAGCGGTGCCGCTGGTGTAGCCCCTGCTGTCGGGGACGAGGCGGGCGGTTCTGTCGATGGCGCACGGGTTGTGGAGGCGGGCTCCGCGGATGTGTCAGCGGACGAGCACGAGAAGGCGCCACCTCCCCGCGACGACTCGTCGTACCTCCGGCGATGGTGGCCTAGCAGCACCAGCAGCGGCAGCAGCGGCAGCGGCAGCGGCGGCATCAGTAACACAATCGGGGTACCGGGGGAGGCGGACGGAGGTGGTGGCGAAGGTGGGGGCAAGTCCGTTGTCGCAGGTTCTGGCGAGGTGGCGAACGAGGAGAAGGCGATCGTCGCGACAAACCCCCGCGACGGCAGCGATGAGAACCAGGAGGCGACGGAGCGCGAGGCCGCTGAACGCGGCGTCGAGCCTTCCCCAGGGACCAGGGGAGAGCAGGCAGAGCGACCGGAGGGACCCGTCGCGGTCGAACAAGACCAAGAGGCATCGCTGTCGCTGCTGAGGAGGTGGTGGCCAGTGTCGAAGCAAGAACCCACGTCCCCGGACGAGGCGCGCTTCAAGGAAGACGGCGTCGATGACGTCACCGAGGCCGCGAACGTTACCCGGGCAGAGGTTGGTCCGGAGGTGGGCGTTCCCTCCGCGGGGCTGGCCCACGCGTCAGCCGACGGGGGCGCGAGCGGGCCCCAGAAGTTGCCGGCAGAGCAACTGCCCGAGCTATGGCGAGCGCAGCCGGGGAGGGAACAGGGAGTGGAAGAGGAGCATCAGCAGCGGCAGCAGCAGGGGGAAGGGTTTTCTGCTCCAGCGACAAGGCCGCCACTGATGTCGCGTTTCTGGGACGTGTTTTTTAACCGTCCGTTGGAGTTGCCGCTGCCGACGACGCAAGAAGAATCCCTGAATATTGATGTGTCTGCCGATGGTGACGGCAGCGATGCGCTTGCCACGGCGCGAGATGGTGAAGGTAACGACGTGGCAGCCGCAGAGAGCGAGGAGGGAGGAGCGGCGGGCGCGGAGGGAGTGGAAAGGGATGGCGACCAAGGGGAGTTAAGACACGAAGGGGTTATGGTGGCGGATGCCTTGCGACCTGCTGACGGTGATATCCCGCCACCGGCACCACGATTAGACGACTCGGCACAGACACCTCCATCTGTGGAGGAGGGCGCGGGGGATAAGATTACCCCGGAGGATGACGAGGGGCAGGTGGGGGTGAAAGAGGAGGAGGAGGAGGATAGAAGAGAGGACGAACAACGTGCAGGGAAGGAAGGGAACGAGGATGGAAGTCGGGGTAGCGAGGAGCAAGACGAAAGGCCGTCCGAAGGGCGCGAGAGTGATGACGAGTCGGGAGGCGAAGTGGTGGACAAAGAGGTCCAGCCCGTCGGTAAAAAAAACGAGGTGGGGGTAATCCGTACGCCCGCGAAGAATGAGCGATAGACACTGGGGGAGGGAGTGACAGACGGTGATACCGGTAGCAATGAGGGCAACGATGTTAATAGCACGTATTCAGCAAGGAGAGGAAGGACAGTTGAAGGCACCGGTGCGTTTTCAGAGGCACCGCAGCATCGATTGTGATGCGGTTACGATTTCAATATATAGCAGCAACGATGCTGCGGGGGATGCAAAGCAGTGGCCGGAATCTATCAGGCGTGCTTTAGGGATGGTGCCCATGCTGGCGTTCTGAGAACGGGAGACACTACTTATTTTTATGGTCATAAACAGGGTGGCGTCTTGCTGTAGCAGCAGCTGAATGTGTCTTGGGTAAAGAGGAGCAGCTGGTAGCTGGTGTACTTTAAATCAAGCGTTGCGGTGCGTTGATAGATTCCTGCTTCCCTTCAGCACGAGCCACCATTTGAGAACCTGGGAGGTATGAGTTTTGGGATAAACAAGAAGCTTGAGAACTTGACCAAATGAACAGTTACTCACGCAAGAATGATACGCTGGCTTTAGGGCTTCCCAACAGAGGAAAATATGCGTAGGGAGCCCAAAAAGAGCACGAGCAGACAGCTGTAGGCTACAGGCGTCGGTAGACATGTGCGAATATTAACGTAGTCTGCCACCGCTTCTGTCTTCAACCCAGAGAATAGCCTAGCCCTTCCCGTCGTCCTCCCTCATGAGGACCTAAACCAGGGCCTCTAGAGGTGTCATCAGCTTTTCGCCGCTCCGAAGCTGTCGTTTTGCCATGGGTCAGCCTTTCAGCGCCGTCTAAACACACGCGCAACAAAAGCTCATCGCAGCAAGCAAACACATGAACAATGGAGTGCTTCTGAACAAGGAGGGGTGTCATGATCTACAGAAGCCCGCCGCTACAAAACGATAGTACAGATCGAGTGCTTCTTCGCTTCGCCTCGTTGTTGCTGACGTTTCATTCGTCTTCGTATAACAGCATTTGGAACTTGATAAATGCCCAAGTCAACGATTGATGGACAGTTCCAAGCGGATGTAAATGCCGGATGCACCAAGGCCTCCAGATGAAACAGGCATCGCTCAGCAACGGCCTAGCACCCAGCTGGATGGTACGTCCAGCAGGCTACAAGTACGTGAGAAAACACTTGCGGCACGTGACATGAATCGTGAGCCTAACACGCCATCCGGTATCCAGGAAGCCGTCAATTACTAACTTTCGTTACTTTATGCACCTCGTTCAGCGACAAATTATCAACTATTACAGGGATGCCTGCCACATCACAATGAGCACTCCAAACCAAAATGAATCACTTCCCGATATGAACTCGGAGCCGACCGCACACCGCAAGCTGCTGTACATTGCCAGTGATGTACGCCTATCTTCTAACTCTGTGCTCAGGTTCACTATCATCTTTCCATGCGTTCTTCCAGGCAAATGAAATGAGCCTCCAAGGGAAACAATAGCTGCCACCTACCATTGGTCTCGCGCCACGAGATCATGTATCCGCTACTTTTCCCACCTCCGCGGCCAACTACAGAACCACCGGAAAAGCATCCGACCACGCCTAACATATCCTTTACCCAAATGAAATAGACTTCCAAGTCTATGAAATAGACTTCAAGTCTACCGTATCAGCCGCTTTTCCAGTGATTTCTGCAGTCGACCACCACGCGACAGACAAGGGTCTTGGGCACTGGACGGAGAAAACGGCTGAGCGTTCGGTGCACCTCAACTGGCTGCTCAATAGCATCCCCCGGTGAGTGGTAGGATCTTCGCGTGTCGTTGCCTACTACCAGGTACGTGTTTAAAACATCCAAGGTGACGATCGTTCACACACCTGCTGCAACATACGAGAAATACTGTTCGGGATTTTGCACACATTTCTCCGGTACATATTCGGGATATTGCCCGTGGTCGCAGGAAAACCCGCGCATCCACAAACTTGGTGTGTGTGATTCCAGATCGAATTGAGTGTAACTCAGTACTTGGACGCCTACCGCGGGGACCCCATGATCGGGTTGGTACCAATCGCGTTCACAGCGCCGTGCACGGAGTTGGACTCATGTAAAATCGATGCTATATCATGTGCGGCGCCGCGGGTATCTTCCAACCTCCAGGGTTTGGGGGGGTGGGGGGGCAACAGACCTTGCTGAACACGGCAATGAACACTTCCCGTGGGGATGGAAAATGGTGGTTTCAGACCTACTGAGCTATAGAGTGAAGGTCCACAAGACTAGCATCGGAAGAACTCATGTTTTAAAAAATTTCAAAAAGTTAGGAAACAGAGCCCAGCCGTCAGCACAATCCACATACTGCTGTGTTTGATAGTACCCAATCGTTGAATCCCACGAAGGCATTCAGTCTTGCCCAAAGTTATACTTGTGAGTGCGCCGGCGCTATTGTCGATTTCGTTCAGCCCAATCCTTGTCGAATTCAGATTTCGAGTAGAGGCGATGGGTTCTGCTTCTATTCGGCTCTACATTGTTGCTATTTATGTGGGCTGGACTCGGATATTCGAGCGACGAGTACTTGCCACATGCAGATCCAACTTTTTCACGGAACCTTGGCTCCAGACGACACCATTCGCGAGCAAGAAGATACAAAATTTAACTGTACAAGCACCATCCATGAAATAATTGGTCCTTGAATCTTGTAACCGCTCAATTCGCGCTTACAGCCCATGTTGCGAGAGATAATTCCATGTACGCTACAATAAATTCGGAAAGAAAGAAACCAACCAAATCCACACACCGATTTTAGACATACATGCATGCGCGTACTTTTTGCTACTCCAAATCCAGGCAGATGCGCTCAAGATTTCCAGTCAAGCGAAAGTAGTCCCGGCGAATCCGCTTGCATCTGAGATAAAGTTGGAACTCCCTGTCGTGCTCCTGGCAGGCACAGCTTTTTCGCGGCTACATAGCTCGCGACGGCC